CTGCTGCTTTTAATGTTTCAATCCTTGCGAGTGGGAAAACAAGTTCCTTGTCGCGATGAGCTTGGTCTACAACTTTCTTGCCTTTCCACTTTGGATCAAGAGGTGTGTCAACATTGCTTTGCTCGGCTTCCTCTACAACTTGTTTCTTCAAGTAAAACTTTGCATCTGCAAAGTATGATTCTGCTTCAATGAAGGGAGTTTCATCAGCGACTACCTTTTCTTTCACCCCGCCTTTTTCAAACATGAGGCATTGGTGCCAGGACGAGGGAACTACTCCATTTTCATGTATCCAAGGCCGGCCCAACAGCAAGTTGTAGGATGTCCTTGCATCTATCACATAACATAGTGTACTCGAGTTTAGTGTTCCGATCCTGAGGTCGAGTCTGATGGTCCCGAGTGTTCTTTGTCCGCCTTGATTAAATCCTTGAATCATTAAGCGGCTTTGAGAGAGCTCGTCGGTGGAGATGCCAAGTTCTTTCATTGCTCGGAGTGATAAAATGTTCACAGCCGACCCTTGATCAATCAAAATCCTTTTAATCTTTTGCTCGCGGGCATAACCTTCAACAAACAACGGACGATTATGTGGTGTACCACCAAGCAACAGATCCTCATCTTTAAAAGTTATCTCGGCGGTATAAGACGCGGCTTTGTGGACTTGAACCTCGTCACCTCCCTCAATCACGGGGAATGAACATTCCTCCTCTTCAACATGTCTCTCTTTAATACTCAAGCGAGTTCCAAGAATATTTGTCCCATGCGGAGGAAGCGTCTTTGGCATGTATTGAGCCAGGGCAACTGGTGTTCGAGACATGCCGGGACGTCCTCTCATCTTTGTGCCATAGGCGAGGTCCCTTGCTGGCTTTCTCTCTACCCATTGCTTCGTTATTCTCTTCAAAGATCTAACATGTCCAGCATTGTTCCTTTGTTTTTTGCGGGTAACAATTACCCAATCCTTCTCACATACCGGCTTGACCTGTGGTAATTCCGGCTGTTGCCTAGTAGCATGCTTCACAATAAATGGAAGCGGGCGTTTGTATTGCTTGCCCCCATCCTCTTCATCACTCTCCACAACTAACGGAGCGAACCTTCCGCATGAAATTTGGTTGGTGCTGGCAGTTGCATCAGTCAGCTCAATCTTTCCATCACGAGCAAGTCTCATCACCTTATCTTTAAAGACGAAGCATTTTTCAATCGGGTGTCCGAGGAGATGATGATACTTGCAATAGTTGGGGTCGTCCGCCTTAGAAGCTTCTTCGGGACGCTTCATCTCCGGTAATTCAATCAACTTAAGCTTTAACAATTCATCAAACATGGGTGACACATCAGAGTCCAAGAACGGATACTGTTTTTGCTGCATCTCTTCAATGATTCTAGTACCCCGAGATGGGCGGGAAAATGGCCTTAGCCTGGGATTTTCAGTTACTTTGGCGAAAACCCGCATTGGTGCTGTTTTTACGTTCATGGCCTCCTTCTTTTCTTGTTTCGGGAAGGGTTTGCCCCCTTTCTTGAATTCTTGTTTTACAGGCGCCTTGGATGAGCTAGCGATACTTGACATGCCGAGCCCTCCATTGGCTTCAATACTCAATTCCATGTCGTGAGCACGACTGGATAGTTCTTCAAATGTTCTAGGCTTGATTCCCTGCAAGATATAAGAGAGCTCGAAGTGCATCCCTTGGATGCACATTTCAATTGCGGAGCTTTGTGATATCCTCTCTTTACAGTTAAGGCACAACTCCCTCCATCTCTCGATGTAAGTGCCTGCACGCTCACCCTTCCATTGGTGGGTAGTGGTGAGTTCCAAGAAGCTGACAGTTTTCCTGGTGCTGTAGAAGCGGGTCAAAAACTCGCGCTCCATGTCATTCCAGCTATCAATGCAACTATGCTCCAGGTCAGTGTACCAATCAAAGGCAGTGCCCTTCAGAGAGCGGACGAACTGCTTGACGAGGAGATCTCCGTATGTTCCTGCATCATTACAGGTTTCAACGAAGTGGGCGATGTGCTGCCTCGGGTTGCCTTTTCCATCAAACTGCTGGAACTTGGGAGGTTGATAGCCCAGCGGCATTTTCATTTCTTCAATTCTCTGAGTATATGGCTTAGTGTAAGTATATGAAGATTGTCCTCCCTCGAGCTTCCCCTTGATCGCTCCCATGATGTACTCGTTCAACTGCTCAACGGGTATCATGCCCTCAGAAATTGGGATACTCTTCTCGGCGGGTGGTGGACGGGAGATTGTCTCTTCCATTCCTGGCCTACTTTGATGGCGCGGGGACTCGACATCAATCTCATCTCCTTGGGTTTGAGGCTGCTTCCCGGAAGCCCGACTTGTTTCGCCGTTCCTTCCGCTTTCAACCTTTTCGCTGAGCACATTGATCCGCCTTTCTTGGTTATGCATGAGTGCAGCTATCCCCTCGAGAGATTTAGTGATGTTTGCGAGTTGTTCCTCCACCGAAGCTGCGTTCGTTGTCATAGCGGGCATGATCGTGTATATGTGATTCCATTCTGGTGAGGTTCTCTGCAGAAGTGATGACTGTGATGAACTTCCACTGCTTGGAGTTTTATTCAAGGGAATAGGGCTCGCAGGACTCTTGTTGCTTGGAGCTCCCTCACTTGTAGGATTCTGGTCAGCAACAGTTTCCTTTGTAGAGAATGATCCTTTGTCATGTGCAGCTCTCCGTGACATAGTGGAGTTTCTGTCAATCCTTCGGACGATGTGGCGGGCAATGTCCTGGGCCTCGTGAAGTTGCACCCCTAGGTTCCTCACTCGGCTTCGAGTCATTGCTCCTCCTGCGCCTTGGCTATCACCGGAACCGGCCGCTGATGGTGCCCTGGAGCGGGTGGCCTGAGCATATGTCATCTTGGATGAGGGATTTCTTGATGCCATTTAGATTCCTTCCTTGTAGAGCTCGCGAATCAACAGCGAAGAGATGAGAGGCAGAGTTGTCCCACTGAGCGTGCCAAAATCTGCAAACACAAAAATGTAAACTTTGTATATATTCACAAAATTTCGTGTACAGCGTGTGTATAATTCAATGCAGGTACAAAATCTCTGTCTAGTCCTCTGATTCTTCACTAACGTTATCTATGGAAATGCCTCCGGGATTCAACTAGCGTAGCCTCCGGGATTCAATTGGCGCGTGCCTCCGGGATTCAAGTGGCGTAGCTTCCGGGATTTAAGTTGCGTCACTTCCGACAACGAGCGTCAAGAATTTAGAAGTAATCAACCCTGCAAAGTTTCAAAACACATGCAATGGATTCAAGCTGCTTTAAGATCCTCAAACGCCTTCAAAAGACTTCAAGATCTTCGAGACAATCAATTCTGCAAAGCTCCAAAGTACCTGCAATGGATTCAAATTGCCTGCAAAATCAACAAAAATGCCTTCAAATCTTCAAGCGTTCTTCAATGCCTTCAGGCTCTTCAAGTGCTCTCAACTCCTTAAGTCTTCAAGTTCTTCCAGCTTTCAAGTGTGTTTTGGAATGAAATGAAGGCTCTATTTATACTAGAAGCCTAACCAACATTCCTCAACAAACTCCCCCTTTAATTAATTAATTAATTAATTAATTAATTAATTTAGAAAATGAACCTTGCCTAGAATCAAGTCCAGGTTCATTATCGTATAATCTAATTTAAATTCAAACTAAATTATAATTATCTAATCCAAATATAATAAAGTTAATATTATATTTAAATTATAATTATAATTTAAATTCAAATATGAAATGGGCTTGGGCCAACTAATTAATTAATTCAATAGCCCAAATCAAACTCAATTGGACTAATCAAATTAAATTAATTTCTATGATCCAATTAATCAAATTGGCCCAATCATCATTCTCAACATTGGCCCAATAAAACTTTAATCGGTCCTGGCTCCTAGATCACTATTTTTATCAGTTTTAATTTTTTGAACTTCTTTTATAGTGTGTGTTTCATTTGTGGTCCATTGTTGTGTTCAGTGCGAAAATTAAACAACTAATGTATGTACTTAAATCATATATTGTATTCTGAAAATCGCTTTAAATTTATTTAGTTTTCTCTATCTTACTCTAATTTGAGACTATATAGCATGCATGCATTTTTGAATTGATATGATGAGGATACTGCAGGCTGGCTGCTGCATTCTTACTTTAATTGTACGTTTCGTATGTTATGTTATACCCTTGCATACATATATGGTTTCTTTAAATTGTACAGATTAACATGCTTGCTCTCCTAGAGCTTTGCTCTTTTTCTTCTTATCTTTTGTTCATTTCTGTTTTATTCTTTGAGATTACTAACCCTTGAACTGAACTCAAACTGAAGAATCAGATGACTTCTATGAGTTTACAGCTGAAGATTATTACCGCATATTGTCAACCAAGAAGGAAGGTAATACATACATATAGCACTACAAAAAATCAATCATTTAGCAACAAAGTAATTTCCATTCCTTTTCTTGTTCCCAGAAAATGTCACTGCTTTGTTCCTCTTCCTGGCACCATTGTGAGTTTCACGAATTTCCTTTCTTCTCTCTTCTACATGTTTATAGTTATCTTTGTTGCGTCTTATTTCACATCTAGTTCTAATACTATTTGTTTTTTTTTCCTTGAACAATTTCAGGATTACATTTAAGAGGATCATTGCAAAAAGATGACCGAACAGTTCTCTGGCTTGCCCTATGTCATGACTGTGCTCAACTGTTTGCTTTCTGCTTGGTATTCCTGAAGAAACTGGTTTTTCTTATGTTCTCTCTTCAAGTAGCTTCTAAATGACAGTTATAATGACAATTTCAAAGATTACTTTCTCACAAGTTCTACCATTAGATTCATACTTTTCAGAGTCTGTCATCTTCTTGATCTTCAGTCTTCTGATAAATTGATATGTTGCATTCCCAGACGTATTGTTTTAATTACCAAGTTCTAAGTTCTAACATATGTTGCATTATAATGTGTATTATGTAACATTAATAAATTCTAACATATGTTGCATTACAAAGCTTGACCTTTTCAAAGCTCATATTGTTTTAATTACCAAAAGGGAAAGCCACATTCTTTGTCCAAGGTAAACTGTCACTTAGACATATGGATTTGAAAGTTGTTTAACTTTATGACCTCATGTTTGGTGCAGACTAAAAATAGTACCACTGCAGCTCAGGAGAAATGCATCACACACCTGTTACTGTATCATTTTTGTGTTAATCTCCCTGTAATTGTTTTATCCTATCCTGTCTTTAGATACATGGGAATGCGAAGTAGTCTTCCCTTGCCATCCTGGTATTTACGAGCTCTTTCCGAACTAACACATAGTTGAACAGACATAGCACAATTCAATTTTCCCAATGTTGCCTGATACTTCTATTTCTTTTACTCTTTTATATGTATGTATACACTTTGCATACTTCATATATTATGTACTATGAACCTTCTATTTTTTCAGGAAAGTTATTTCAACTCAAATAATATTCTACTTCATCCTGGAGGACTCTGTATCCTATTGGGGGCATAGGATTTTACATACAAAATGGCTCTACAAGCATGTTCACAGTGTCCATCATGAGTATGTAGAGAGCACTGGTTTTTAATAACAAGTTTTTGTTGCTATTTTAATTTTTCGATCACAGGTATGCAACGCCAATGGTGACTTCTGAATATGCTCATCCGGCTGAGATTTTCTTCCTTGGATTTGCTACAATAATTGGTCCTGCAGTCACTGGTCCCCATCTGATTACACTATGGCTATGGATGGTACTTAGAGTCATCGAGACAATTGAAGCGCATTGTGGTTTTCATTTCCCATGGAGTCTCTCAAACTTCTTGCCTGTATATGGGGGGTTCGTATATAACTTTTGTTTTCATTACAACTTTTGTTCTTAGTATCTATCAACTGTAAAACCTATTTGTTGGCTGCCAGGGCTGATTTTCACGACTACCATCACCGGCTGCTATATACCAAGTCTGGCAACATTTATTTACATGTGTTACGAAAGGAAAGAGAGAGAGTTTCTAATGTGCTGTCATATATTATATCAAACTCTCATAGGAATAGAAAATATAAAGCCCTATAAATAGGTACTAGAAAACTACGAATAGGAAACAAATTTCCATATGTCCTACCTACCTAAAACCCTAAACTGCCTAATATATAGAGATTCTATATATCAAATATATATTCCTTAACACTCCCCCTCAAGTTGGAGCATATATTTTAATGCTGCCCAACTTGTTACACAAATGAGTGATAACCCAAAATAACTAAATAACAAATAGCTCAAGTCTATTTAGGACACTCCTTTGATCGAACAAGCTTGAAATTGGATACTCATACTCCCCCTCTAACAAAAGCTTCGAACGCCACGAATCCCACGAACAAAGAACAATGGGTGAACACAAAGTGACCGAAAAAGCTTGAAATTGGATACTCCCCCTGAAACGAAAGCTGTGAACGTCACCAATACCTACGGACAGTTGGGTGAACTCAACGTGGTGGACTGAACAAGCTTGGGATTGAACCCTCCCCTGAACCAGAAGCTTGAACTCCACCAATACCGCAACTCCGGGTGAACCAAAAGTGGACCGAACAAGCTTGGACACACAAAGTAAAGAAGACAAACTCCAAACTGGAGGACACAATTTCATTACTAACAAAAGGGCAGTATCTTGACCAACACAAGGGAAGCATGCTCCAATTAACAAGCATAAAAAAAAGGAGACAACACCAAAACGAAGGAGAGATAACACCAAACCGAGGCAGCACCAAAACAAGACAACACCAAAACACAAAACAAGACAGCACCAAAACGAGACAAATTGACTGTAGAACAAAAGACAATGGTCCAAACTAAGTCTAGAACCAAGACAAACAGACTTAGGCGACCCAAGAACAAGTTGAACAAAACGTTTTTCAATCGTTGGAGGAGCCTCACGCGCCGACGGCACGTGAGGCTCACGCGCTAGTCAAAACGTGACGACAACGCAGCGGAAAAAAAAATTATCGTAAAGGCTCAGATACCATGTTACGAAAGGAAAGAGAGAGTTTCTAATGTGCTGTCATATATTATATCAAACTCTCGTAGGAATAGAAAATACAAAGCCCTATAAATAGGTACTAGAAAACTATGAATAGGAAACAAGTTTCCATATGTCCTACCTACCTAAAACCCTAAACTGCCTAATATATAGAGATTCTATATATCAAATATATATTCCTTAACAACATGGATTGGTAAGATCTTTCAAATTTCAATCAAGTTTAACTAACCATTGGTAGTAAGATCAATCAAATTACATGGAGAAGTTTAAATGCTTGTCTCTCTCTCATCAGGATATTTGGTACTGACAAAGGTTACAGAAAACTGAAGGCAGACAGTTGAAATGAAGCTGACAAAAAAGAGATAGAGAAGTGAGTGATGAAGTTTTAGCTTGACGAGATAGGGGTGGCTCTTTTGTAGTTGTCATTCATGTCCATAGATACAAATTTTGTAGTTGTCAAACGAACATTTGAGGAAGTAAATTTACACTTCTATGTCCATAGGTACAAAGATGTCAACTATGGATTTTTTATGTAAAAGTTCTTTTTAGTTTATGTATGCAATTCAATTAATATATAGACTTTTGTACTTGAATATTGTTTGATGTTATTATTTGACAAATATTTGTTACAATTGATTTTATTTTAAATTGAATGTGTATACGGAGTTTGTTTGGGATTGCAATCCAAATTCTAATGTGGAGAATTATAAAAAAGAAATTAAATGCAAATTTAGTGGCAGTTTGAAAGTGACACAATTATTACATAAGAAAATAATTTTAAAAAATAAAATTATATTTTAGCGGCGGTTTTAAAATTGCCGCTAATATTTATGGTAATATTAAATATAATATTTGCCAGCGGTTATATAAATGTCACTAAATGTTTATAAAAAATGATCAATTTTTAGAGGCGGTTCGAAAACCGTCGCTAAATATATGATTGACGGACTGATTCCCGCGGTTGTAGAAAATCGCCGCTAAATGCTTCGCGACACACTATTTAGACACGGTTGAATAACCGCCGCTAAACACAATAGTGGCGGTTTGTAACCGCCGCTAAATGTAAAAAAACCGTCGCTAAATGTTTAATTTGGTGTAGTGATAGTTGATACTTTGTTGCATTGCATTGTTGCTTCAAGAAATCCAATGATGAAAGTTTTGTTGTCTACCATTAATCTTGTAACACCCCCTAAATTCCATGCTATTTAAAGCCTTAAACATGCAGATATCTAAACCAAAACATCAAACACAGCGGAAGACTGAAAGAGGAAATATATATAAACTGGGAGTAAAGGGGTGCTATGCCACGCTCACCCAGAGGCGAACGCACAGGCTAACATCTGCATTGTTCAAAATCTAAAACCAAACATCACAAAGTACTAAGTCTAAATTGGCTCACAGGCCACAAAACATAAGGGAAGAGCTACACTAGCTGGGACTAAACCACGCACTCGTCTAAGCATCACCTGAAAGAAACATATAAAACATGGGACGACGCCCGGTCAACGAATAATGCTGGTAACCCACCAATACATGTGAAATATCATACATAGGTAAGGTATAAGTTTGAAAGCCATTTTCGAAACGGAATATATATATATATATATATATATATATATATATATATATATATATATATATATATATATATATATATATATATATATATATATATATATAAGTTCAAAACCGAGAGTAATAGTCAACATAAGTTCAAAACAGAGAGTAATAGTCAACGCAAGACTCAAACACTTCCAACAAGAACACGGGAACACTTCCCAAGACTACAAGGAATAACAATGACTCACAAGAAGTCTCAAGGTATAATTTATCATCACACAATAGATTAACACTCAAAGGAATAAGGACACACCCAATGGCAACACATGCCTAAGCAACACATGCTTTTGATACTACACACGTCACAAGAAGAAAACTCACAACAACGGCTACACAAGCCCTCGTGACATCACCTATCACGAGTTGATATGCCTTCCTTATGCTCGGTTCCAACCTTAGGGCTACCCCCAACCTTATATCTAGTTCCAACCTTTACCTCCAGGACCCCTGTACAACCAAGTCCAACCTTTTCCCTCCGAGGACCGTCGTCCCCATCCGCCGACAAACCGCCAACAAAACCACCAATTTCATAGTACACGAGGGTACCGATCACACACACGACAACACATGCCTTCCAAGAAATACGTGAACCTGACACACAGGTCAGAACTCCATAATCACATCATGCCACCACGAGGACCACTGCAATACCTTGGTGACTAGTGTCCCATACCACTAATCGTGCAATCCAGGTAAAGCCACACACACCAAACCTCAACAGGAATCAATCAACGGATCACAACGAAGATATCAAACCATACTCAATCAAGGAATGGATCACAGTCCAACAACAACAACGATGAATAACACAAGTTATCATCAACCAATAGGAAGGTACAAACAACACACACGCTAGCATTTAAACACCGAACTAGCATGCTTATCAAATGGGTAAACCAAACGACACAAGACTCATCATGGTTCAACGAAACACAAGATGAACATAGATCTTACCCTCCTAGATGCCCAAATGTATGAAAGGTAGAATATTGGAGACAACTCTTGAAGATTTGACAAAGCTTCGACTTCGCATGGAAGAAAAGCTATCTACCTTTTTAGAGAGAAGGTGAAGCTAGAATTTGGAAAGTGTAAGGAGAGAAATGAGGGTGTTTTACTAGGTTAGCTTACAATACTAACACAAGGTGAAAAGTCAAGAATACCCTTACTAACATGAAGAGGTGTAAGGGAACAAGGGAGCTCCTTACAAAGCTTAAGGTACAACCTTGATTTTGGGGTTGACTAGTCAATTACTAGTCCCCGACTATTGAATTTTCAGGAATTAAGGAATTAAATTACCAATTGAAATAGGATTAATTATTTAATTAATCCCTTAATCGAATTTGGATTTCGGGGTGTCACAAATCTCCTATATGAACTAGATGGTGTAGTTGTATGGTTGCAACAGGAGCAATGGGAGGACCATGCTTAAATAGCCTACATGCCATCATTATAGGCTAAGTAACGAAAACTGATACTTCCGTTTCAAACCACAAAATAATGACCTTAAATTGCTTATTAAACTTGCACCACTTAATAGTGTCATTATAATGAAAATGTTACACATGCAAGCTTCTCAAATGCATAGATATAGATTTTCCAAAATAGGTATAAGGGTTTGGAAAATTGCTTAAGGCATTTCTATAAGCCTTCTACTATGCGAAGATCTGGAAAACAATGACTTATGCAAAAGAATCTCAATTATATTGTCAATCCTTCTATTCAAGAGCTAAACAATGCATACAGCACATTAGACCAAATCATCTTTCAACCATAAGCGAACGAAGCACTGAACATTCTCATACTTAGAAAAATTCATATCAATACTTAGGGACTAGGATCATGCTTGGTCTAGAAAAATTGATTCTACTCACTAATCATGAAAACACAACTCACACTAGTGTGTCGTTACAAACCCAAGTCTCTGAGCCTCATAAGCCCACGATTCTCGGTCCGAAGCAACATATAGCTGAGTCTTAAGGGCCCGACCTCTCCTCAGATTGGCCTGGCGGGCCTTGAGGAGCCCCACCACTTGGTTCCACCAAGCCGCGGCTTAGAGTGACGGATCTCCTCTAGATCCGTCACTCTGGTCTGTTGCAAAATGTACCATACCAACGGATCCCTCTAGGTCCTTTGGCAAGGCCCACAAGGCCAAACAGGGCATCAAGGAGAGAACTCTCATGAGATGCACCAGATGATTAAATCTCCATTTCTAGAACTCAAACCTCAGCAAAACTTTTCCAGACAATCATATGAATAATCCATATAACATCAGCAACGCATAATAAACACCTTATCATGCATTCTCATTCCTTCCTAAACATCAAACACCAAAGACATCCCTATATCATCTACAACACAGAGTAGAAATAATAGATTTTGGGAATCCATGGTTTATACCTTGAGCTTCTAACTTCAA